GAGAGAGAGAGAGAGAGAGAGAGAGAGAGAGAGAGAGAGAGAGAGAGAGAGAGAGAGAGAGAGAGAAAGAGAGAGAGAGAGAGAGAGAGAGAGAGAGAGAGAGAGAGTCATGATGCACATTGCACAAGCCTTCCTCGTACTAAAATCTCCGTCTGACATATGCCATGTGCCATTTCTCTCTTCTGTACCGGTCTTGTTCTTTCTTTGTCTCTCCTCGTCAGACAGATGGTTCTGCGGCGTCAACTGAATCCGCAGTCCATCTTCGATCCAAGAGGAGCAACTGGCAGCTTTCGAAAAGAATGACGGCAAGCCACGATTGCACATCGACACTATGTGGAACCATGTCCTCTCAGGCATTGCCAAGAGGATCTGCAACGATCAGATCCCAGTGCGACCAAATCTCGCAGATATCAAGGACCTAGTAGACCTACCCATCGTGGCGCACGATGTGCTTCAATCCAAGTTCTCCGCTTTTACTTCCAAAGTTATCAGGGTGGCAAGCAGGTGGAGACTGTAATCATGCACTATGATGCGTCAGCAGGACGTTATGGGGGACAACATCGTGGAGGTGGGCCTCGGACGACGGACGACACTTTGCGTATCGTCCCAAGTGGGATGCCAGATGGCTTGCTCGTTCTGCGCCACAGGAACAATGGGATTGCAGGGTAATTTAATAGTCGGGGAGATCGTGGAGAAGCTGGTCCATGCCTTTTTACGATTCACCCCTAATATTTGGAACGTCGTATTCATGGGTATGGGGGATCCGAACGGTCGTCGAACAACTACGATGCCGTATTGCAGTCTGTTCGATCTATGTGCAGCAGCAAATGCTTCCGACTTTCGCCCAACCATATCACCATGATCTCGACGGTTGGCATTATTCCCAGAATGAAAACGCTTGCGTCCGATCTTCCGGGGGTGAACTTGGCTCTCTCCCTCCATGCCCCTTCGCAGAGTTACGAGCCGCCATTGTGCCAGAGGCGCGAGCGTACCGCCTCGACAAACTCGTCGAGTCGTCGTTGCGCTCGACGCATATCAAGCCACCGCTGGTCGAACTGTTTTCGTCGAATACGTCATGCTGACAGGAGTGAACGATTCCGAGCCGATTGCACACCAGCTTGGCTCTCTGCTAAAAGGACGACAAGTTGTTTTGTCAATCTGATCCCGCACAACTCAGTATCTGTAGCTACTTCAGCTCATTCTGCGAGCTCGCCTGCTGGCGTCAGGCGATTCCAAGAGGTATTACGTGAATCGTACGGCCTGCACGCAACCGTACGCCAGGAGATGGGTGGCGACATCCCAGGAGCCTGCGGGCAGCTTCTTGTCAGCAACACTGTGACAGTCGCGGATGAGGCAAACGGACCCTACACCCATGGCCTCTAGCCAGGACCAGGGAAGCAGGTGCAACACTGCAATCTCAGATATCGAAGTCCTGCTAATGATTTCAGCTTTGAAAACGTGAAGTGTATATACTATATACTATGGAAGTCCCAGTGGCTGACGGACTGGTAGGCGGACCTTTCGCTGACGTCAGGAGATACTACCCAAACCGTATGACCTGTACAAGAAATGTCAGGAGATGACTGGCGGGTGGAAACCTAGCAGCCTGTGGCCAGCTTTTTGTCA